GGTACTCAGAGCCTCCCTAAATGTGCCACAGGGGGCAGAGTAACAGGGAGTCTGAGAACCAGCATTTTTCTAGGATAGAAATGTCCTAGAAGGGGGTTGGTCTGCTCCAAACCCCTTCGCTGGTGTCCACAGGACCCTGCAGACAGTGGGCTGTCTTTGTGCTGGGTTATAAAGTGGCAGTGGATTGAAACTGAGTCCTGAGCCAAGAGTTGGGGGATATAACTATATAGGGGCATCATGAGGGTTATAAGAAGAATGGGTTCAAATTCACTGCAATCCAAGATGCTCTTGATTCCCAAGACCCAGAGGTCTTGCTTTCCTAGGCCTGGAGGCGAGTGGTTCTCTGTCCCCTCAGTTATAGCAGCAAGGGACCCAGGTCAGATGGCAGGCAGGTTATCCTTTGTGGGGTAGGCATGTAAGAAGAAGGAAAAGCATTAAGGGAAAGAGCCCTGGCTAAGGTAGTCCTGTCTGTTATCTGGTATGATTTTAATGGCATTCATCTTAATTTAAATTATGTAAGTTTCATTGTTTATGTACTGAATTTTTTTGTCAACTTGTTTACATGAGCTGTTCCTCACTTTATATCCATGGCCCAGCACATCATATCACCCAGAATAAACATTCAGTGAAGAATGAATGAATGAATTTACAAAGTGAAAGGGTGGATGAGTTATCCCCAAGCCCCTTCCAGCTGTCATATTAGTTTGGAATTGGGAAGTTACATGTTCTCTCACTGGCACAGCTGAAGGAACGTGTTCCCCTGAACACTCCAAGCTGGGAAGCGTGTGGCACAGGCTCCTTCATGGTCACAGAGGCTGGGTGGGAGCAATTTCTGTGTGAATATGAGGCCATAGAACTTGTGCATGTTCAATTCAAGAGTTCTCCGATGGGTGGGAGCCCTTACCAGTTTTTACAGATCTTCAGCATAATTGGTCCCACTGGGCCGTGGGCCCTTTTCTGCCCTAGGATGAAGGACCTCGAAACAAGGGTGAGAGCTTGGCCAGCTCAGTTGAATAGATGGTGCATGGTCCATCACAGTGGACACTCTCCACACCTCAAGCAAGGTCTACGGGAGCCTTCTGGCCCTGGGAACTGCATGTCCTCCTTAGATGCTTAGATGGCAACCTCAGTGACCTGCAGGGGGCCTTGGGAGAGCAGGGTTTGGGAATATTCTCTACAAAGTGCTACCAATGGGGATTCAGACTTGAAGTGAGAAACTAATGGAGGATTTGACTGATGCTTCTGAGAGAACCTGAACCATACAGGTGAGAGCATGCCCTCCTAGAGACTCTGAAACTGAAGATCTGGACCAGGGCCAGCTTGTCACCTTCGAGGGTGGTGGGCAGATGTAGGGTGGGAGGAAACTAGTCATCTTTATTAAGGAGCTGACAAGAAGGATCGTGCTTTGTCCTTGAGTCGTGTTGAACAATAAAAGCAAGGGTAGACTCAAGGGCTTGGAGCATGGGCAGTGTTGGTGTGAGCTTTTAATATTTTTCTGTTGGGCGGGGTGGAGGTGGGGCTGAGACACAGACATAGGATTCCACACACTCCTCATCCAAGGTCCTCAGAAGGACATTCATGCCTTGAGATGGTCCCAGAGCCCAGGTCTCGTCAGGGGAATGTGGAAGCTCAGGTCTGAGACTTGTTCAGTCACTAAGAGACGTCTGGAACATATGCCCTGCCCTAATAAAGTAAATACTTACGTTCATCCTGGAGATCTGACATTCCAATATGTGGTACTTAGAGCTCTTGTAGATGTTGGAATTCATAAGAGTCCCTCTGTAGGATGTATAAGATGCTTATGGGAAAACACACATACACGCCACATCACATCACACACACACACACACACACACACACACACACACACACGGGTTAGAATTTCTATGACAGGAATTAGTTAAGATTTGTAAGGTGGGAGGCTACCTCTTGATCACGTATTTCTCACATCCTAAGACAGGGTATTTGAGCCATTGACACATGGTTGAAAAAGTATTGAGACGAGGAGTTATTGGGCCTTCAAGTCCTGGTTCCAAAAGCAAAAAAAAAAAAAAAAGTGAAATTTTAATCAGGTTATGAAGAACTCATTTCTATAACTAAATCCTGGGCATTGCCTACACCTAGAATACAGAGTCTGTTAGATCAATTTGAAGGCATTAAAATAATTTTAACCATTGATTTATATACAGGGATTTGGCAAGTGGCTTTAAAATCAAAAGTAAAAATAGCATATGAAACACCAGATGGAGAATATGAGTTTATGTTTCACCCTTTAGACTGAGGAGTCCCCTTACCCTTTCCAAAGAACTGGTAAATGAATTATTGCGTGAACCGGGGACACCTGCCAAGGCGCCTATTCAGAGCCATATGTCATACAAAGTATAAATGTGGTGGCCCATCTAGACTTCTGTTTTTGATGCTAAGGGTAATCCATGAAACCAATGGCTTAGCATGGCGTTGGATTTATAAAAACCAAATATTCGAAGTCATGGCATTTTAAAATGAGCCCCACCTATAGATAAACACTGAAGCTATAAAAAATTGGCAAATACCTAGAATCATATTTTGAAGATGTGAAAGGATTCTATACATGTTAACTTTTACACTGTGGAACTCAAGCTGTCTCATTACCTCATGCAGACCAGAAAGATAACCAAAAAGAGATTCAAAAGGCTTTCCAGGTGTTGGTTTCTTTAAAGGATTTGAGATTGTCAGATAGTTTTGAATTCTTTAAAGGAGTGACTGATATATCAGGGTACTTAGATTAGGTAAAGAATTATAATAAGAACACACACACACAAAATGTGGAACTCTCAAATAAGACCTCTCTGGTAGAAAAATTGTTAACAAAGGAAAGGAATTTATCATCTCTACAAAAAGAACATTGAGCAGCTGTTGAGGTCTAAGGTCAACTCTGGCCAGGCGGTTTCAAGTCAGCATTCACTTGTGTGCCCATCCAAGGTTGGACGTTCAGGGAGGCCGTGCTAGTGGGAGTTACAGAGGTGGCCAGGCAGCACCATCTGCTTTTTCATGTGAACATTCAGTGCCGTGTCAGCAACAGGAAAGATTCTGGCAGCCATGCTAGCACCAAAAACAGACAAAAACTTGCAGAGGGAGTTCCTAAGTCGTGACCATCCTGTTTAGTCACTGAGACTTCATCCAGAAGAGAATGGAAAAGCTGGGGTGAAATGCAATCCTTTCTTATTGTTGTTATTAAACTTATTGGGGTGATATGGGTTAACAAAACTATTCAAGTGTACAATTGTCTAATACATCATCTGTGTATTGCATTGTGTGTTCACCACCCAAAGTCAAATCTCCTTCTGTCACCATATATTTGACCCCCTTTACCCATTTCTGCTTCCCCTCACCCTCCCTTTCCCTCTGGTAACCACTATACTGTTGTCTGTGTCTGAGTATACTGAGTTTCTGTTTGTTTCTTTGTCTTGTTCATTTGTCGCTTTCAGTTTTATATCCCACATATGAGTGAAGTCATATGGTTCTTGACTTTTTCGCGACATGGATGGATCTTGAGAATATGGTGTTAAGCGAAATAAGAAATGCAGTTTTGTTTAAAGTTGTAATGGGTTCTGTTATCTGGGAGTGTTGCTTGTACGGTAAGGTTTGGCTCAATGCACACCAGAAGCTAACTGTCCCCTGGGTCCCTTGAGTATAAGTGCCTACGGGATGGAGAGTCTTGGTGAGGGTGATGAGGGTGATGAGGGTGATGAGGGTGATGAGGCAGACAGAGATTCCCCTGTGCGCAACAAACTCACTGGAGGGCGGGGGGTGGGGAAGCATGGGAGGAGGCAGGGCTTGGCTGACAGAGAGGACAGAAGAGGGCCAATCTGATTGTCATTTTCCACTCAAAATATGTAGTACAGTAAAAACAGTCTGAAAGGAAAAGCTCAGACATAGTCCAATCTCCAAGTTCACCTTTTATCTGAAATACCTAGATCAAGGGCAAGAAACGCCTTTTCCCCCAACTCGGGTGGAAATTATCCAGCCAGAGAACTTCCTCAAGTTATCCACTACACTCGCCAAAGAGTTATATCTCAGGGTCTGACAAAAAGTTTTGTTATGTCACTGCAACCCAACTAAATAAATACTTCAGGAATCCTCCTCCTTACTGCATGTGAGTGGAGGGGAAGAAATGGGCTTTCCTCTGTAGGCACATGCACTGGATGTCACAGTACCTGTGACAGAAGTAAGGGTTTGTCATCCTATGAGGTGTATTTTCAAGTGCTGTCTCCTCAGAACCCCCTCCCTTTAATTCACCAGGGTCTGTGTTGTAGGGTAGGGGCCAGAGTGGCCCTGCCACATTTAACTTAACCTTGAACATCTCCTCCTCCAGGATGCATCCCCCGCATTTCCAGGCAGAATGAGGGGCTCTCTCTCTATGCACCTGGAATTTCTCCTTCATACTGAAGCTCTTAACAGAGAGTCCTTCTGGGTTTGCTTCACACAGATTTCTTGGATTCAGGGAATGTTCTCCTTAACCTTCCAGCCCCAGGATCTATAATAGCTTGGCATCTGGCACTTAGTAGGCAGTGAAAATGGGCTTATTGACCACAGAATGTACAACACCAAGAGTGACCCTAATGTAAACTATGGACTTTGGGTGATAACAACATGCCATTGTGGGTTCATTGATTTTAATAAATGTCCCACTCTGGTAGGGGTGGGGGGGTGGTTAGATGTGGATAACGGGGGAGCTGTGCCTGTGTGGGGGCAGAAGGAGTATGGGAAATCTCTGTACCTTTTGCTGTAGACATAAAACTGCTCTAAAAATACAGATCTATTTGTTTTGAATGGATATATAGTTGTTAAAATTGGAAGCACTCTGAACGGATAGCATTTTTTTTTTTGCCAATCAAATATTTTATTTTTTCTGATGGACAAAACATTATTTTACAAGTTTACTGTAAGCATTATGATACATACTGCAGTTGACAGTATTTTATGTAACTTTGTTTTTGCCTGTTGTTTTATTTTCGCAGGGGGTGAAGAAGTTTGATGTGCCCTGTGGAGGGAGAGACTGCAGCGGGGGCTGCCAGTGCTACCCTGAGAAAGGAGGACGGGTAAGTCATGGCATTGCAATAAATGCTCTCTTCCTTATACTGCCGTGATAAATGAAAGTGCCTTAAATTGCCTAATTAAGTCAGTTGGGTACTTTCCTAAAGAAATATAATGTAGCCATGTTCTTCTCCACTGGAGCAAACAATAATATAATGCAAAATTGGGTCACTATATACTACTTTCCTAATATGCTAACTTTCTTAAGCATCTTTTTGCGTGTTCATTGTTATGAATACATATGTCTATATCTGTATATATAGTGCAACTATGTTTTATCCTTATGATGTTATACATAGACATATATTTTGTAAAAATATTACATAAAGAATACATAATTGCATTTATACTATAGTAAAGATATTCAAACTAGAGGGCACCAGCATCATACTACTGAGAATCTTCTGCTTTTAAAATTATTCTACTCATTTCCTGAATGTCCTTTATGTAGCCCATTTCATAAATAAGAAAGAGAGAAAAGGTGACTCCACATTATTATCATAGCGTCTGGCAGAATTTGACACATGGACCCAATATTGGGTTTAATATGTTCAATCAAAGCGATTGGGCCCTCATTTCATTTCTGTTAAAGCTGATGTTTTAGTCTTGGCATTATTGACTTTAAAACGATATTGTTTATATTTATATGTTTAAGCCCATGTTGGTGTGTGGCAGTGTGGGGAGTGGTGTTTCGTTTTATGACACAGAGTCTTTGGAGTCCTTACGCCTTGGAATTATGCATTTCCCTCTAGGACCCATGCTTGTCCCACGCCAACTTGTGCGAGGCAATCGGGAATTCTTGCCGGCATTGCCCTGTCATTGGAATCAGAAATTATTGCAATCCTTAGGTGTGGCAAATGAATTTCACCAAGTAGAATCCTGAAGTCAGTTTTTAAAGTAACCATTCCCCATTTCCATCCCCCAGGAGGAAGGACCATCTTTTTGGAGCTTGGCCGCTGTGGCCGGGTATTATATCATGTACCCTGTCTCACCTGAATCCCCTCCAAAAATCAAATAAGTAAAATTTGTGGCAGGGAACCCCTTTATAAATGTGGCGGTTATATTTACTAACATTGGCTAATCATTTTTTTCAATGCCAAAGATCACAGTTGAGGAGCCTTTTGCCACTAGGTCAAAGCTTCCATGCCCGTGTGCTGTGTTCATCATGAGTTTGCAATCCTCAAAACAGTTTTTTTGTTGTTGTTGTTGTTGTTTTAGTAATGACTTCCTCTGCTTGGAGTGGGGACTCTACGCTTTAGGAATTTCTAATTGAGGATCGTTTATCAGCATTTAACAAGGATTAGTGTTTTTTAAATTTATAGAAACCATTTCATGAGATTTAAAATGCCCTGGGGTCCCTTGCTATAGATTTTCCCAGCGATGCTTCTGGAGCAGTGATGAAAATGTCTGACTGCAGAGCTCTCACCTCCCTAAGCATTTGGCTAGCTCAACCTTATATGGGCACAGGGAAGATAAATCAGTGGTATACAAATATCTCGGAGACTCGCTTATGTGGGAGAGAGTTCAACTCTAGGGGGACTCTGCATTCTTTTCCATGTGATCAGCCAAACGGAACCAAAACAAGCTGAGGAGAAGCTTACTGGGTCTATTCTCTTTCACTGTGTATGATTATTTAATGCAGAGCCAGTATATTAACGTAATACATATTATGGGAACTAATGCTTTTGTAAGAATTTTGTCCTTCAGTAAAGCGAGCTTATTCTGACTGTTTGAATATATAATGCCATCTGCCTAGCAGTGTACTCTTATAGAAGGCCAAAGATCTTTGCAAAGAGGTTATTAGAAGGGAGATTTCTAAGGGTCCCTTGGTCTTTCCAATTTAGTAGCTTTACAGTAAAGGCATTGAGACCCTTTGATTCCCCCATTGTCCCTAATTAAGAAAATTCCTTGCGTCTGTTTCTGTACATTGCCAAGTAAAGTAGAAAATTGGCACCTGGTTAATTTGATTAACATGAGAAATCCAGAACCCAGTGTGGACTTGACTGCCCTCTCTTCAGATAGGTTGTCAACACTGTTTGAATTAAGTTGAGATTTGGCAATTGTCTGAGCAGTTTGTTCAAAAGACAGAGACAAGTGATACCCCACTTTGGGGTGTCCTGGCCTGTGATATCCACTATCCGTAGTGTCAGACGGTTCTTCTCTTCACACTGCATACTGGTCCATACAGTCATTAGTGCTGGACCTAGACTCACACTGTGATTGGCCATACAGATCCAAGTTGGGTTGTTTTAACAGCCAGCACCCAAGGATGCCCAGTTAATTCAGGTGTGCCATTGAATATTAATAAGATGGTAGAAATGACTGATAGTAAAAGGGAAGGAGAAAAACCTACAGGAGAGAGAGAAATACCATTTATCATTTTCTATGGGGTAAAACCAGTATGTCACTGAAGATATTTGTTGTCAGGAAAATTGCATAACTTCATTAAATCATTTATTAAGATGTAGTGTCTATTTCAGTTCTACAAACCTGGCGTATGTGTGTTAAATATTTGTTGATTAACGAATTTACCCAAATGTGTTCCTATGGAATGCAGGGCTATTTCTGCCCTACTTGTGGCTTGATAGTATTTTTATAAGTAATGTAATACATAAAAATAGCAGTGGGACAGATTTTGCTGCTCGGAGAGCTGTGTGCAGAGTTCCTTCTTTCCCACAGCTTCCCCTGGGGTCCCTTGCTATATATTTTCCCCACAGCGCTACTGTAGCTGCGATGACAATGCCTGACTGCAGAACTCGCCACTCCCCAAGCACTTGGATAGCTCAGCCTTATATGGGTATGGGGTAAGAGTTCTTTTGTTTCTCGCCATGGTGACAGCCAGCATCAGAAACTGTATGTTACTGGATAACTTTTGGACTGTAAGCAAAAATCACAAATGTGCTATGGACTCCCATTCCAAATGAATTCTCATGTTACCAAATGAATAAGCTCTGTGTAAAATGTATCGAGCCTGATTCTCCACCCTTGAGTGGTGGGCGGTGGATTGTCCCAGAGAGAGAATTGTTTCTCACAGGCAGAGCCGCGCAGCCCCACGGATAATTCCAGTTAGCCAGTAGCTGGGGTATGAAGAGGCGGGCACTGCGGCCCAGCTGTCGATGCACTCCTCACTCCCTGGCCAGAGCTGGGTGACCCAGCCCATGTCCTCACGTTCACTCAGGAGGGTAGGAGGACGTTGACATCGGGGTAAATGACCTGCTCCGGTCTCGGTCCAGAACAAAACGCAAGCTTTTGGACTTCTTGATGAGTCCTTTTTCCGATACCATAATCTTTTGTGTCTTCCCCCCTCTTGCCAGATGTTAACCTATGTGAAGGGGATTCTCCAGGGTGAAGGGGAAGGACACAGGCAGAGATGAAAAAAGGCTTGGCTCTCTGTCCTCAGAGAGTTATGATTCCCTAGCCGAATCTAACCACCTCTTCAGTTGTTTGGTGAATTGAAAAAAAATAACTAAAGGAAATGATATAAGACTTTATTGTTGTTGGAGGGTCTGTATTTCAAATAATCTCTAGGAAGTATATTGGAGTAATTAAAAATTATAAGTCCTAATTCACCGGTACTACACAGGATGATATGCACAAAGAAAGTCAACAAACTAACTTAGACTTTCTCCGCGACAGAATGTCACAGAGTCATCAATACCAGACAAAGCTGTAGCCCTCTTACGTTTTGTTATTTGTTTCTTCTTCTTGTTTTCTTTATACACCTTGGAGATGGAAGGTAGTTGAATGGAAAGTATCAGAGTGAATTTCTCTTACAGAATTTCTATTGAAACAGAGTAACAGCCACCATTGATATAAAAATTAATAATCTGAGGAGCTGTAGAGAGAGCCAGTGAAGCCAGTGATTAGACAAATAAAGGTGTTTTGCCTTCGCACATTAACTCACCTAAAAGGTTTTGAAACTCTCAGATTTTTCCAACTGAGGTCAATTTTAATTCATTATTTCAGTTACTTAGGCAGGTTCCTCTTCTTCCAGCCCTTCGGTTTTTTTACCGTAAACTTGGATCAGATAGGTGGTAATTTCAACTTTTTAATGACACCAGCCTTCACAGAGCACCTATCTTCCTAGGCAAGCAGTATTTCAAAAATTGGTCAATACGAAGACAATTGTTTAAGTCCAAAATGCCAAGAATTATTGAGGTGGTTCAATGGCCCTGTCAAACTACAGTGGGAAAAAGAAACCACAACTTTTTTTTTAAAACTTTATTGGGGAACAGTGTGTTTTTCCAGGACCCATCCGCTCCAAGTCAAGTTGTCTTCAATCTAGTTGTGGAAGGCACAGCTCACTGACCCATGTGGGAATCGAACCAGCGACCCTATTGCTCAGAGCTCACGCTCTTAACCAACTGAGCCAGTTGGCCAGCCCAAGAAACCACAACTTTGACCAATTCCCAGAGCTCTATCATCAGCCCCTGGATGAGTGAATTAGCATCTTCCCTAAACCTCCGCAATCATCCAGCCCACGTTCACCCTCTGTGGGCCTGACAGCACGAGCCACAGAACTGGAGACTAAACTCCCTAGAGCAGCGGTTCTCAACCTTCCTAATGCCGCAACCCCTTAATACAGTTCCTCATGTTGTGGTGACCCCCAACCATAAAATTATTTCGTTGCTACTCTATAACTGTAATTTTGCTACTGTTATGAATCGTAATGTAAGTATCTTTTTGTTTTCTGATGGTCTTAGGTGACCCCTGTGAAAGCGTTGTTCGACCCCCAAAGGGGTCGCGACCCACAGGTTGAGAACTGCTGCCTAGAGGTTGCAATCAGTACTCATTCACTTAAGCAGTGACTAAGTATGGTACTTAGTCACTTTTAGTTGTCACTTAGTCACTTTAGTTGTACTTAGTCACTGTTTAGTTGTTGCTTTTTTTTCATGTAGCTGAGTTTCCCACAGTCTGTGGGTCCCTGGACTTGCAACAAAGTGTGAGCGAATAATTCTTAACCTCACAAGATTCCTTAAATTCAGCACTATATATCAAATTGAAA